AAGCTTCTTTCTCCTTGTTAATTGACCTTCTTCACTCTCCACTTAATAATATCAACTTCATTCTACACAATTAGAAAGAAAAAAATTAGACATGTCTCCACAAACATAAAAAAGATTAGTTGCTTAGAATATTAAATATACCGAGAAAATTAATTATATGGTTGTGGCGGGTATTCATGGGGCGGGTATACCTAAACCCAAACCTAACCCAACCCAAAAAATAGTGAACAGGTTTAAACCCGAACTCAACCCAAAACCCGTCAACACAAGTTTTTCTCGCATTGACCGGATTGAATCGAGTAGGGTAAGTTCGAGTTTTGTTGCCGTGGCATAACTCGGGTAAACATAGAAAGAAACGAACGATACGTGCGACAAAAAACTTTTACATCACTACAGCTCTTATGGAATTCTCGTACGTGCTATCTGCATTAGATCTATTCACCTAATGAATTCCTCCTCTAATGCCTTATCATTTTCTTGTAGCCAATGCTCGTTGTTATGCTTTATGCTATACAGGGGCAGAGCCAGAATCCAAAGATCGGGGGCCGAACTTTTTTTATAGTATCCGTCAAAATTTTCTAAGAAGATAAATAATAATTCATTCATTATAGAAACCCAACAGTATTTTAGAAACCCAGGTAATATTTTAGATAATTAAAAGATGTAAACATATGCTATAAACTCAAATTTTATGTAATGGTATGTTCAAAATAAATAATAAATGACCACCATACTTCATCTTTAATTATCTGGTTTGAACTTTAAAATTAGAAAATATATGAAGATGAAGTACAAAAGTTAAGTAATTAGTTCAAATTTTAAGCAAAAATTAAACCAAAAAGAGAAAATCTGCAAAAATATGGTCCTGCCAGGGATTGAACCTAGGTACCCGAAAGCATAGTTAGTAAATACTCCGTTTAATACACGTATATGTACCCGTACGTACTTTATCCGTTTAAAACTTCCGTATCCGTATTTTTGTCAAGCCGTTTCATTTTTGTCCATTCATTTGGTGACTCCCGTACTAAACACGTATAAAATCGGTATAACACGTTTTATATCCGTATTTAATAAAATAAATTGTTAACTTTACTATTATTTATCTATTTATTTATCTTCCAAAATAATTTATTTTATATATTTATGACTATTAACGTACTATTAAACGTATCATTAGCTTAGAAATGATGTAAAATACCCGTACGTATTATATCCGTGACATTCCCGTACCGTATTTTACTAACTATGCCCGAAAGATACTAAAAGTTGCTTTCCACTGGACTAGAGCTAGCCAAAGTTCATCATTTTCACGCGGAAAGTTAATTGTATAATAGCTAATTTCTCCAGAATTTCCAAAATTTTCGATATTTTTACACGCCATCTTTAGAATTCTCGGGGGACCGAGGCCCCAAGTAACAAGGTAGCTCCGCCCCTGATGCTATAGATAGCCGAAAAATACATCTCCAAGTCTTCGGATATTCTCTCAGTTCTCTCCCACCACACTTTCCAAACAACTGTGAGAGGAATAATCAGCCTTGCAAACTTCGCCATGAGTACTTGATCAAACGCCTACTCCCAATTCTGTATAAGCTAAAAGTAGGTTCTTGGATACAGGATGTAGAAGCCTTCCTTGAAAATAATTCCACATTGGTGTTGCAAAAAAGAGGGGAAAAAATTAAGTAAACTTATTAAAAAATTTAATATTTTTTTAATAATTATTATTATGACACATGACATTATTTAAGATAAAGAATATCACTAAACTAAATTTAACACAGATTTTCTAAACATTATGCTCAAAGTAAATGAGTAAACTAAGAACAAATAAAAAATCATACATTTTAATATGTAATGTGTTTCTTAGTATTTCTATAACTGAAAAATGAATGTCATATTATTATTTGAAAAAAATAAGTAGTTAATCACATAACTAAAAAAATTGAGAGGAATATAGAATCAAAAGTTGATAAACTTAATTTGCATACTTAAAAATTATAACTTATAAAACAAAGTATGAAGTACTTAAAAGTACGACACTTACAAAACAAACTAGGACTTTGCTACGGTGACTTGCAAGTCATCATGACTTGGACAAAAAGGTTGACCTCTTCATTGATTTGGTCGACCTCTTTAAACAAAATGGTCGACTTACTTACTGGAATGGTCAACTAGATGTACTATTTTACATTATAAAATGTTCAACCAACGGTCGACCTCTTCCACGAAAATTTCGACCACTTTACAAGAAAACGGTCTGCCACTTCCACCAAGCGGTCCACCGCTTTCAACAACCGGTCAACAACCACTGTTAGTGATTGCATCATATATAATTAGAGTCCGATAATAATACATATGTTTTCTAGTAGGTTTAATAGCATTTTGTACCCCTTTACTATGATAAATTAACAAACGTACCCTTGTACTAAATTTTTGCACAAACAGACCCTTCTAATATTAAAAAGTCACAAATTTATCCTTCCGTCTAATTTCTGTTAAGTGACCGTTAAATGAGCTGTAAAATGACCTAATTGCCCATCATTTACTCCTAATTTAATTTTATGTTCCAAATCAATTAATGAAAATATGAAACCCTAGAGATACTAGAGACTGTCGGACTCCCATGAACTCTCCCATGGCGATCAGAAGCTCAACTTGGCGGCGGCACCTACTTTGACATCTCCTCGCCGACGACTGGAGTAGAGAGAACCGGCGAGACCATATGGCCATCTTCCCAGATTCCCCACGATGTTCCAACGCCATTTGTACCTCCCTTTGATCACACTAAAGGGGCCACTTCCTCGGCTTCGCCCGACATTGCGACGCCAACTTCCTGGATTTTCACGAGACTTTCCTACGCTAGAGCTTCCCGTCGATCCATTTACTCGGCTGCCACACCTCTAATCGGCTTCTGCCGTCGACGACTGTGGCAACGCTTCCTCCGAGTAGAGGACAAAGTCAATGATGTGAACGTCTAAATTCATGGTGATGCTCATTATTATTCTCATTACTACCTATCTAGTGACGACGAATGCCAAGGTGTTAGGGGGCACAGAAGGAAAATGAGAGAGAGAGCATAAGAAAATGAAAGATTAAGCAGCAGAAAGAAACAAACCAGATTTATTGACTGATTAATGAATGTTCATCCCAATTGCAGAACAATGTAAGGGGTAATAAATGCTTGAGCCATAAAAAAAGGTTATCTGACGGCGAGGAAGACAATATCGAAAAGAGGGTTTTGTTTCTTTTGTCTTGGCCTATAATCTGCATAGAAATTTGGTTGCTCACAAGTGATAGGATGTTGCATTATTACAAAAAAAAAAAAAAAAAAAATCGTATTGTAGGTCTCATATTGTCCATTATTTTCATAATATAAGTATAAGATAACTTTGTCCTTTGGGTGACCGTTCGTGAAAGCGGAGATTGTTCGCCGGAAGAGGTACGTAAACCATTTTGCGGAATCGATATACTGTTTTGATGAAAGCGGTCTACCTCCTCCAACAAGCGGGTATAAGTTGAAGATTTATCAATAATTCAATGAATCTGGTTTGTTTCTTTCTGTACCTTAATCTTGCATTAGGTGGTAAACCATTTTCTTGAAAAGTCTTTAAATGGTCGACCAATTTCATCAAGTGGTCCACCACGTTTCAAGAAGATGGTCTACCCCTTCCACCAAATTGTTGACTTGATTACCTTCAAGTGACCGACGTCTTGCATCATGAGTCATGACGTCGACTTATTCCATCAAGTGGTCGACCACGTTTCAAGAAAATGGTCTACCACTTCCACCAAGTGGTAGACCATTTTGTGGAAGTGGTAGACCATTTTCTTGAAACGTGGTCGACCAATTGTATGTAAGTGTGGCATCAGGTCGACCATTTTGTAGAAGCGGTAGACCATTTTTTTTGGAAAATGATAGACTACTTTACAGAGAAGGTCGACCGTTTTCTCCAAATTACGGTGACTTGCAAGTCACCATAGGCATACCCAACAAACTATAATGCCCAAATTAAACACATTAGGTAGAAATGGTAGAAAGATGGTCTTTAAGCTAACAAGTTAAAAAACAAACTAATAGGCATACCCAACAAACTATAATGCCCAAATTAAACACATTAGGTAGAAATGGTAGAAAGATGGTCTTTAAGCTAACAAGTTAAAAAACAAACTATCATGCTCAAATTAAACTAACTAGTAATAATGGTAGGAAGATGGCCTTTACACTAAGAAGAAAGAAAAACGGTTAAAAAACAAACTCTACTGCTCAAATTAAACAAACTAGGTAAAAATGGCAGTAAGATAACCTTTAAACTAACAAGATAGAAGACAAACTATCCTGCTAAAATTAAACAAACTAGGTAGAAAGATGACTTTTAAGCTAACATGTTAAATAACCAAACTATATTGCTCAAATTAAAGTAACTAGGTAAAAATAGTAGAAAGATAAACTTTAAGCTAAAAAGTAAATTTTTTTTGGCTTACAACAAGAATTGAACCCAGACGCTTAGCGGGAGAAGAAACAATACTTTTTACACTAAAAAATCAGCAATTTTAATGTATCAATTCATTGCTTTACAACATAATATTCAATCTATCTGTAATTTTCTAAATATATATATAATTTTATATAGGATTTCAGAAGTCTCGAGTCCCTATCGAGAGACCACCTAGCTCCGCCCCTGCGCTGTTGTGAAGTAAATAGCTTGTGGACTCCGCATAACATTCTTCATTTGACAACAAATCTTAGCACTCACGATGAAGAAGAGTAAAAAATTGTGCACCATATAATAGTGTCTTCAAGATTTGAAAAAAAATCCAATATCTTCATTTGAAATAGCATGCAACACTTCTGTATAGAATACCACAACGTCCATTGACTGCGAGGACTGGAATACGACACCTTGCGGACTGCGGTCCTGACATTACTACTCTGCTACAAGAAGAAGCCCTTTGCCCTTTAGCCTTCAAGTCATTATTATATATATGTAAGGTTGCACCAATAGACAACAGCAGAAAGAAATCCATAACTACATCTTCTACCTAGTTCAGTTGAACCCACCATTTTCAGGAGAAATGAAACTCCAACACTCAATAACATTTCTCCTCCTCCTCGCCATGGCGGCGGCCGTCCCAACTTCATCATCGAATTCCTCACCTATGGGCAGCACTAGTTCCTCCGGCGGTCCACGTCACTTCGTGCTGGTCCATGGGGCTTGGTCGTGGTACAAGATGTTGCCATTGCTGACATCCGCCAGCCACAACGCCACCGCCATCGAATTGGCTGCTTCCGGCGTCGACCCGCAACAGGTCGGCGCTGCCCGAAACATTTCCCAATACACGCAGCCACTCATGGATTACCTGTCGGCTCTGCCGCCCACGGAGAAGTGGTTCTCGTCGCCCATAGCTACGGTGGGTTCGCGGTGGCTCAAGCCATGGAAATTTTCCCCGCTAGAATTTCTGTGGTGGTTTTCGTTACAGCCTTCATGCCAGGCCCGGCCTACCCTTCCGCTACCCTTTTCCGCGAGGTATTTTTATTATAATTGTATTTCTGTGGCGGTTTTTTTATTTATTATTTTATTACGGTCCAATCAGCAGTTCCATTTGTTACATCAATTCGTTTGTGGTATTTTATTATAATAATTCATTTATTAGTTTGTGACTTTCGTTCTCCATTAACAATTTCGTTTGTGGTATTTAAAAGGTCCAAAGCCAGCTAGGGCCCCAACTAGACAATCGTTTCACATTTGAGAATGGGTCTAACAGTTCTCCAGCCACGTTGACTTTTTATGCCCAACTACTTGCTACGAAACTTGTATCAGCTCAGCCCAATCCAGGCAAGTCCACTCAACACTCTTTAAAGCAAGAGAACCTAATCTCCCATTATCTGCAAACCAGACCTAACAATTTCTTCAATTGTTTTGTTTCACAAGAACCAAAGTTCCTTCCTATGCAAACTGAAATAAGTTTTTGTGAATCATATGCAGGATTGGACATTGGCAACGGCACTGATGAGGCCATTGCGTTTCTTCGATCTACGAGATATCGTGATAACACAAATGAACTATGATTCAGTGAAAAGGGTGTATATTGTTTCGGAAAAAGATATTGTGCTACCTAAACAACTTTAGGAGATGATGATAGTTCGTAGTCCCATCGATGAGGTACTTAACATATCGACATCAGATCATATGGTGATGTTATCCAAGCCATTGAAACTTCGAGATCAGTTGCTTGATATTGCTCAAAGATATACTTAATTATGATGAGGTGCCCAAGACTTCTTACAATATAATGTGTGATGTCTTCATCATCCGCTCAAAAAATAGATTGTGTGATAAAATTTGCCGGAGTTTTTATTTAATTTTTTTGTTTCAAGCATCTCTAATGTAAAATGAATGTGGATCTCGACATGCTCGGTCAGCCCGACCCAATTACACCATAAGTAGGCAAAATGCATATTGTCTTGAACCTGGTCTTATCATGCCCAATATAAAGTACTGACCTTGGTTAACATAGTGTATTAGGAAGATGTGGTTCTAGCATTGACTTGCCTTGTTGCCGTGTTTTCCGACAAGGAAAACTCTGGTGTTTGGACTCAATGAATGCACTTTTGACTTCTTGAACTATGAAAATAACACGGTTCACGTCTCTCCGAACAATGTTCGAACGCGGGTGTTTTATGTTTTTTATGGTTTTGTTGGGAACAAAGCTACACCATGTTTTTTGGGAACTTCAAATGTTTGGTTGTGGAACCTGACTCGCACAAAGCTACACCGCGAATTAATCCCGACTAGAGCACAGGTCGATCCATGTACCCCTACTTCAATCACTTAGGTTGTTATCTATCAATCGGCTTTGGGTTTAAAACTAAGAAAAATACAAAATACACAAACAAGGAAAGTAATCGAGGAGAATTCTACTTGAGAGGACTTCCCCTAGGTATTGCTCCTCCTAGTCTCATGCTAAGAATCAATGAACGAAACTCTAGTGTGAAGGGTATGTTTATATACCGCGAGGCGGGTGCAACAAGCTAGGAACGAGCCCTCCTAGTCGATAAATCAAGGATTCCTACAATAAGCTAGCGAACCTAGCTCTCTTAACTGCTTGGCTTAGGATTACAACAATAAGCTAGTAGGCCTAGATCTCTTAATCAATCAAATCGAGGAAACTCTAACTCTCTTAGTATACTAACTCTCTTAACCTTTCGGCTAAGGATGACAACAATAGGCTACTTGATCTAGCCCTCTTAACTATTCAACTAAGGGTTGTAAGACACAACCCTCGGAAGTTAATCTAGACGGCGGAGAGCGACCAACCATGATGGGATCATGGTACTACTCTGATACTTCAGGTTTTGGCCCTATATTAACCCAAAAGGGGTTACCCAAGTGGCTAGGTGATCAAGCTCCATATGGGCCAAAAGAGGATTTCCTCCTTGTAGGTTAATTTAACCAATAATGAGATAATGGAAGCAACACTCAATCATTCATGATTAATACGTCAAATATTATATAAAACACACAATGAACACAATAGAATCAAGTTCTTACATCCTAACACACATCAATTTTCCATCAAGTTGATACCCTGTCAGCTCGGTACCTTGGCTGACAAGTCTCCACCCTCGAGGTTCCATACTTGGTCTGGATAATCTAGGGATACCAAGTCTGCCTTGTCGACTTAATACCCTCTTGTTTGGCTAACAAGCTTAGTTTTTTTGCTTGGAACCCTTTTGCCTTGCTACCAGGCCTGTCTTGCCAGTTTGGTACCCTGTTGGCTCCATACTTAGCCAAATTTCATGTCTTGGTACCAAGCCTGCCTTGTCGGCTTGGTACCCTTTTGGCTCCATACTTAGCCAAATTTCATGTTTGGGTACCCTGTAGGAGGCGTTTTGCGGCGGGATGGTGACTTCTTCTTCTTTTTGGGAGGTTGTCGGGTAATGCGTTGAGGTCAAAGAGAGAGAGAGAAGAGTGAGAGTGAGAAAACATATATAGAATGATCAAGAGGGAAAAGGAGAGTAGATCATTTTTTTGGTTCTTTGTTTTTGTTCCAAAGGAGGCCGAGAGGGGATAGAGTATAAGGAGAGGCGACATCGGTTTGGGGATTAGGGTTAGGATTTGGGGGGCTGCTGGGCTTTGGGCTCCCGCTACGCTTTGGGATGGGCTGCCAACTTTGGGTTGTGATGAGTTGCTAGCGGGCTTAATGTTGGGCTAGAGTGAGTTTAGTTTGGCTATCCAGTTTATTCGGTTTTAACCGGATTGGACTGGGCTAGTGTGCACTATAATCGCAAACTGGATTGGATGGATGGTAATCCGATTTCCTGTTGCAAGCAGAACGGTTTAAACTGCCCGGTTTTCGGTTTGACCAAAAAATTGGAACCAGATTTATAGCCCTAGTACCAAGCCCGCGTTGCTGGCATGGTATCCTCTTGATTTCTTGGTACCAAACCCTTCCTTGCCAGTTTGGTACCCCCTTGGCTCCATACTTAGCCAATTTTTATATATTTTGGTACAAAGCCTGCCTCATCAGCTTGGTACCCTGTTGCTTGCCTACCAAGCCTATTTTGCCTGCTTGGTACTCTCAGCCTACCAAGCCCCTTCTTTCGTCTTAGTACCCTGTCGTTTGGAATCCTGTTTTGCCACCTTGTTTCAAGACTTAGTTGTAACATCTCATACCTAGGTTAACTCTTTAACCATTTGGTTCGATGAAGAACCAATGATTTCTAAAAAGTATTTGGAGAGAAGAGATGAAAAATCTAGATAATAAATGTTACATGAAGGTAATATGATAAAGAACAAAAATACGAACGCGTAGACACAGACGGTGACAGATTCGATATCAAACGAAGGAGTTATGAGTTAAATGGTGGAAGTCGCCCTAAAAATTAGAAAAGACGCATAGCCTGATGAACGAAATAAGACTCTTGCCGATTGATCTCTTTTGGTAAGTTTTCAAGAATCAGATGGCAATGAAAGGTTTCCTCATAAGAAGCAATCCTGACGGAAAATCAGCAACGACTAGCTTGGTCCTCTCCAACGGTGGTATTGGTCTTCTATATATTCTGTGTATTTAGAGAATCTTGGTAAGGTTTTGTAACAGAGAAAAAGAGAGCGGTAGAGGGCTGAACTTTTGGGTTACAAAGGTTATCAACAATTCAGGGGAAGATGTTCTTAGCTATTGAGGGTTTTACAAATCGGATTGTGATCTGTGGTGGTGGTTGTTTGGTTTTTCTTTTTCATCCTCTGTTTCGTTTTATCTTTTGCTTGATAGGTAAAATCATAATAAAAAAAGAGTCTCTCGGAAAATTGCAGGTGCTATTTCCGAGACGAGGAGTGACCAGTAGTTTGAGAACCTCGTTAAATCGTGTGTTCTTCTCGTTTCAATTCTGTTTTAGTTCTCTGTTTTCTGCATGGCTGTTTGTCTTGGTTTTCCTGGGTTTCTGCTCTGCAATTCATTCCGTCAAAGGAAGAAGAAGAGAAGCTGAAGCTCTCTCTCTTGCGTTTTGACTTCGATTGGGCTTAAGTAGAGAATGACCAATTTGTTTCTAATTTTTCTTTACATATAATTTGATTGGGCTTTGTCATTCTCCATCCCAATTATTATTATTTCTCTAGGTCTTAGTCGAGCAGCAGAGGAAGTGTTCTTTCTCATCATTTCCCCTTTCCCTTCTGCTGCTTCTGACCTAATCAAAATCCCTAATCTGATTTCTAATTCGTTTCATAAATGGTATCAGAGCCAGTACTTGAAGAAGCTAATTGCTGCTAAGGCTGATCCAGGCGATAGCTTCCTCAAATTTTGGCCAAGCTTCATACAATCACCATCTCATTTTCCCCGGTTCCAATTTCACGGCGTGGAAGAAGTGTATGAAGACGTTTCTGTGGGGTGTGGAGGAAGATCTCTGGCTGGTGGTTCGTAACGGTCCGATCGCGATGAATGATGATGAACAAAATCTGTGGTCTGCCGCCCAGAAGAAGAGCGCTCGGCTCAACCAGCGAGCGATGCATATTCTTCAGACCGCCATTGTGCCCGACGAAGCCGACAAAGTTGAGAACTGCGAAACTGCTCGTGAAATCTGGCGGACTGATAGACCGTTAGTTATACATGTTTTCACCCCTGTTCTTACACCGTTTGAGATGTGGTTTCTCGTGTTTTAGACCGATTTCACGCTAGGTTGTGCTTGTTTGTGATATTTCAGGTCCTGGCAAGTGAATGAAGGTTTAGGAGCGAGTTCGGGGTCGATTGGGCGAAGATCGGGCGCGAGACAAGTCACAAAGGAGGTCACACGGGCTACCCTGATGTTCACACGGCCGCGCGAGAGGCCAGTCTGGCCGTGTGACATTCTGCGAGAGCAGACACGGGCAGAGCAGCAGATTGACACGGCCGTGCAAATGGCCGGGTTGGCCGTGCCACATTCGCTGAGAGCAGACACGGGCAGAAGGAAGTCACACACGGCCGTGCCACCCTGGCCGTGTAAGAAGCCTGGAATTCGACTAAGTGATACGGTGCGTTTTGCCTCACACGGGCAACTGGGTAGGCCACACGGCCGTGCCACCCTGCCCGTGTGGATTGGGATTTCCTGGTTTTAAGCCAAATTCGAACCAAAGAAGGGGGGAGCGGGGTTTTTGGATCCCAAACACCCAAGGGACGAACCAAAGAGAGAGAGGGCGATTTGAGAGCATTCTTGGAGTGGAGTTGGAGGATTTCTTCGCCTTGGAAGCTCGAGGAACAAGCCCGGACTTGAAGACTGATCATCTGAAGATTCTTACTGCAGTCTCTCTCTTCTCTATGGAGTAACTTCCCTTCACTTAGGTTTTGAGGAACCCTAGCTATGTTTGTTTGATTGGATGATTGTATGAGTACTCTGACTGGATAATCTTGAGTTCATATTCAATCTATGCATGTTTTCATGATTCAATTCTGCTTTAGTCGAGATTATTGATTCTGCTTTGATCCTATGAGAGGGAATACCTGATTAGGTCAATAGAGCACCATAGATTGATAGTAGTGGATCGATTGCTTTAGTCAAGGGTTGATTCACTGCTTTGTATCGATTGAGAACCTCTTTCGATTGAGGGAGTCTAGTTCAGAACGCCTTGATCAGTTGTTCTAGAGAAGGATACGTCCCTCTAGGCAATTGACTCAAGAGGGCCTTGTTCCTTTAGTCGAGACTCATGGTCTAGTCAAGGATTCTCCGCATTGTGAATGAAAGTGAAACAGGTTAGAGATCATCAATGGTTAATCTGGCTAGTGGCTAGGGGGAATCATACCTAAGTGAGTTCCCAACCTGTAATAAGATTAACTTAACTGTAGTTTGCTAGAGTAGTTTTAGTTCTTTCATCTTGATCTGGTTTGCTAAATAATAAACTGAAGCTGAGTAATAGTAACTCTAGAGACCCGTGGATTCGATATTTATCACTTGAGCCACTATACTGCAGTCCCTTCCATTGGTTACACTTGACCATTGTTAGGTGTTGTGTTTTAGAGCAGTCAAGTTTTTGGCGCCGTTGC